AACAATAAGCAGGTAGTTGAACAAGTGATTTTAATAACCCACAATTTTTTCCTACCCATCCTTTTTTTACTGAAAATCTTTTTTTACCTCATTTCCCTCCCGGGATGATTAACGTAAACGGTTTTTTTAACATTTTTTTTGCGCCGCTTTAACGAACGGCTGTTGATTGTTTACTCTGTACACCTGATTTTTTTTCTCTCGCTTCGAAGTCGACGAAAAAATTAGCGGTCAACGAACAAAGAACGGAATCTACATAAAAAGATGACGGTATGGTAGCCCATATCTACCTGTCTTCGCTGGATTTGTTTGCGCGTCTAGGCCCCGATGAATCTTCTAGGCAATTAGCCCCTGTATTCATATGTAAATCTACAGGTTTTCTAGGGTGTTAAATATTTGAATTGGAAACGTTTTACATAATCTGTCTACGAGCGGGGAACTTTTTACAACATCATGATGTAGCTACTTTCTTCCTTAAATGAAATTCCCCTTCAACTATTTTTCTTTGTGTCAACTCATCAATATTTAATGTCTATATTATTGTTTAGCATAAAATTATAATATAAAAATCTAATATTTTAACAAATAAAAATATATTTTCAACTAGATCAATTTTTACTCCCTCGGAATACAATACTATTAACTCTATTAACTCTATATACTTATAATAGAATGCTATAGAGTTTGTAAAACGAAGAACCAGCAATTAGCAGCTCATGGCATACTTTAAGCAGAAATACTTTTGTGAAAAAATCCTGTAGTCATGAAGCATTTGAAGAGGTTCCTTATAACCAAAGTCAAAAATATATTAGAGCTTGATTGTGGCAGAATCAAGGTTTTAGTGGAAATCTTTCAAGACATTGACGCATTTTAATGCATTGAGTTTATGCTTGGATTTTCTGATTAAAAAACTAGAAAACAGTGGAAAATGCTTTATGTTATTACCTTGTTTTTTCCTTACAGATGAAAGCATTGTTTCAATTTATAGCTATTTATAAGTTGGTGTGAAAACTTCGCAATTATGTGCCTACGCAAATGACATAGTGATCCTAAGTCTCGCCAAAGGAGAATTGAAGAAAAAATTTGCTGACGAAATTGAAACAAGACATACGGTGTCCACAAGATCCCGAAAAGAGTCTCAAACAATATCTAATGATAAGGAAAATACTAGGCAGACAATCAAAATTCAAAATCTATTGCACTTTTATAAGACCAAGAACAAGATATGGATGCGAAGCATGAAGAGTCTTTGAAAGATGGATCTCGCGCAAGATATATGGAACAATAAAAGATGGTGGTGAAATGTAGTTAATAAGAAAAAAAACTAATTCAAGAGAAATAAAGTGAGATGGCTTGTTGCCATTTAGGCAACTATCAGAGGAAGATGAATGAGGTTGTAGGAAGCAGGAGGTTGCTACAGAAATAAACACTTTCGTACAGACAGGCAAGACAGTTTTTCTGTATAAGTATTATATACAGATACTGTTGTGCTCTTACCTTCTTTTGACAACTATATGTCCCTATAGTTAATAAGAATGAACCTTGAATTGGACCAGCTTATAGATGTGCAGATGTAGTACGACACATAAAAGCACGTATAATAGCATGGCAGGGACATTTGGAAAGGATGTAGGGAGACAGCGGAGTGAAGAGAATTATAGAATGTAACCACAGGAATAAAGAGCTAGGGAAAGACCAAAGAAACGATGGGACGATGATGTGATGCAGGCTGTTAAGAAGCTTGGTGTACGTAACTGGAAGCGTGGCAACGTCCATAAACGAGTGCAGTGCTGGAAGAAGAAGTAGCAATGTCTTTCATGTTCAGCTAAGCTCAATACGACATTCCTATATAGTATTTTTGCACATTCACGATAGTATGACGACTTCTGACCCTTTTCACGAAAGAAGTTTTTTCTTTGCTATAAGTATGCATTCCGTAGCTTTATAACTGTCCAATGTCACACTTGAAACAATACGATATATAAAAGATAGTTAACTATTGTTGGAAGTCTCTCGGTGTATAATCATACCTTTGGAGTACGTTCTTCTGGCTCTTTGGAAAAGAGTGCTAATTATAGACAACTTTTGTTGTGGATGATGATGTAATAAAACTTAAAAGTACTTTCTTCTTGTACGTTTTTTCGAAATACTCCATATTTGAGTTATCTATTCTTAGTCTTAATCACTAAAACATCGAGGGGTAGTTGCTGCTTGGCCATTTGTTCTCAGACTATAAACTTAATCATTGAATGTTGGCTAATTTAAGAAATCCTCAAATCTTTATTTGTCATGTTGTAGCTTGCTAGTAAAAGTGTCTTGCACGTTTTCAGACATAACTTTAGTTGCTAAGGGCTGGTTTTTAAAGCCTCTTCCTCAAACAACTGTACACAGACGTTGACAATGACTGGTCATAACAACGATAAATGAATGTGAAGGAGTGTTATGGATGAGGAGGGTGAGAGGATGAAGGAAGAGGAGACATGCAAGTTGGTGGAATGAGGAATTAGAAACGAAGAAAAAATAGTTGAGCAGAGCAAGGAGTTATCAAAACTGGAGGGCATTATGAGAAAAAAATAGATAAGAGTTTTTGAACAACGGGAGGCATACAAGCATGAAATAATGAAGACGAAAAGCAGTACAAGCAGAGAATAATGATGGAATGAGAGACAAGGGATGGGTGAAAATATGGAGAGTAAATAGAGTGAATGAAGAAGGCGTAGGGTAGATAGGGTTAATTGTGTAGAGGAAAAAGTTATTGAAAATTAGATAAAAAATGAAAAAAATGAAATTTTGTTATTGATGGATGCTTGACTGAAGGGGTGTTTCTGGAAGTATGGAAGAAAACGACAGGTGCATGGTTACCAAAGTCGAATAATGGGGTCAAGGCAACATGCTTGGTAAATTAAAAGCCAGTTATTTACGATGATAAATGTTTTATTTTATTAAAACAGGGTAATTCGGTGCAACAATGTTTCAGCTGACAATCCAGCCTTTATCAAGCACGACGTCAATGAGAGTGCCCGTTGTCAGCTGAAACATTGTTGCACCGAAGTACCCTGTTTTAATAAAATAAAACATTTATCATCGTCAATAACTGGCTTTTAATTTACAATTTTTACGATGAACATCGAATCACAAATTTCCAAATATGCTTGATGTCTGCCATCGGAAAGGTTCTAGATAGGGTTTTATCAGAAAGGTTGTTGGGTTGGGTTGGGTTGGGTTGGGTTGGATTGGATTGAGTTGCGTTAGGTTGGGTTGGATTGAATGAAGCTATTACTACAGCATAAACATTATTTCCCATTTCTCTTTTATACTGCAAAAAGCATTTCTATCACCAACTGGATTTTGAAATGTTGAAGTTTGATGGTTTGACTGTTTTTAACACTTTTGCGACGTCTTGCCGAATATGCATCGCTTTTACCACTCGCATCTTGCGAATAGTTGTTTCTACTTTGATTTCTTCTTTTGGCATCTGAGTTGGAACAACTATAAAATTCGGTACATTAGCTAACATCAATGTTTCTTCTTTTATTCGTTTTTTGGCTTTTCTGGAATACCTCTTCTTCCTTCTCCATGACGTTTAGTGTTCTAAGTTACAGTTCTGCCTAAAATGGGAACTCGAAATATGGAAGTATAGCAGCGGTAACTTCTTACTAACTCAGTTGTATTTTCTTGAATATTTTGTGATTTTTTAGAACTCTCGTTCTACCTTCTCCATGGTTATATCTACTTTCTTACAGTTGTGTCTGAAACAGGAACTCGAAATGTGGAACTGTAGCCGCGGTAATTTCTCACTTATCAGTTTTAGATTCCTAAATATTTTTCTGTTTTTCGGCTTTTCTGGAACTCTCGTTCTTCCTTATCTATGGCTATTCTATCCACTTTCTTACAATTCTGCCTGAAATAGGAACTCAAAATGTGAAAGTGAAGTCGTAACAACTTCTCACTTACCGTTTGTAGGTTCTTCAATATTTTGTGTATTCTTTCCAAGAAGTTCTGACTTGTTTTGATCAAAATTGTACGGGCTACAACACAGTAGATGTGTCGCAGTAGAATTTTGCTTACATATCCGTGGAAAAATGAAATTCCAAATAAATTTGAAGATATCCTGTACGTTGAGGTTATAAATATAAGTTCGTAAGGTTTCATGACTGGTGTTATTGCTAGTTAGCAGTCCCAAAAGCAAACATATTTGCCAAAATCCGCCTCTCTTACCAGAGGACTTCAACAGATTCATCCTTTTTTGATGAAAGCTCTCCCCTGTTAACACTGAACGCGATAATTAGCAATTAGTTCATTGGTTAGTCAACAATTATTAGTAATTATTATTACTTCTATATAGTCAAAGTATTTATCTAAAATTATTTGACAACTTTGATGAAGTACAAATTTTATTTATTTTTTTTTGGGGGAAATCAATTTAGTAAAATCATTGTTAATAAATTGGGAATTTAATAAATCATTATGAATTATCAGTACTTATAAATCAAATCCTAAGCTTTTCAATAAAAGAAACCGCTTTTCCAAATATCTTTTAATTTTTAAAATATTCATCTTTAAAGACAATCAAATTGGTTTGGGATTTTAAGGATAATTTTAAGATATTTAAGATCTTTTTCAAATTTCAGAAATTATGCATAATCACTCATCTTTTTAATAAAACAGTTTGTTTTTAAAAATATCTTTTAGTTTTTGAGAAAAACGACTTTAATTTCAGTAATTTTTTTTTCCATTTTCTTAGAATAAACAATTTTCTTCGATTATTATCAAAAATCATAACAAATTACGGTTTTAATAAACCACTATGAAATCATCGGCGTTTATAAATAAAATCATAACCTATTTAATGAAAAACGCCGTTTTTGAAAATATCTGTTAGTTTTTAAGATATCAATTGTTAAAATTAATTATTTTTTTCAATCACATTAACGATATTTTCATCATTAAAACGAGGAATAAAATTTTGTAATAATCATTTTGTCAAAACAGACATAAATCAATGTCTAATTAGCACTCGACGCATATCTTTTGTGTTTCATTATTTTTTTTTTATTTTATATGATTTAATTTTTATTTAAAAACAATGTTACTAAAGAAAGTATTAAAAGCAGCTAAACCGTGTATGGTAAAAAAAAGTGCTTATCACGAAACCAGAGATAACTTAAAGATTCATGCAAAAACAAAAGTAATTTGTCAAGGATTTACTGGAAAACAAGCCACCATTCAATGCACAGCGGCATTACAAGCAGGTACAAGAATTGTTGGAGGAGTAACGCCGGGTAAAGGAGGTAGAAGTCATTTAAACCTTCCCGTTTTTAACACCGTCAAAGAAGCAAAAGCTAAATTAAACCCAGACGCAAGCATTGTTTATGTATCCCCTAAAGTTTGTGCTTCAGCTATTAAGGAAGCTATAGATGCTGAAATTCCTTTAGTTGTTGTTATAACAGAAGGAATCCCCGTGCATGATATGTTAGAAGTAAAACATCATTTGTTAAAACAAAACAAAACTAGACTTCTTGGTCCAAATTGTCCTGGAATGATAGCACCCGGTGCTTGTACGATAGGATTAATGCAAATGTGTGATAATGGCCCAATCGGTATTGTTTCAAAATCGGGAACTTTAACTTACGAAGCGGCGTATCAAGCGAAAGAATGTGGTTTGGGAAAATCTTATTGTATCGGGATAGGTGGTGATCCTTTTAATGGAACAGATTTCGTAGATGTTTTAGATGTTTATTTAAGAGATGAGGAAACGAAAGGAATCATTTTGATTGGTGAAATTGGGGGTGTCGCTGAGGAGAGAGCTGCTGAATTTTTAAAATTGAAAAAACCACACAAACCGGTTGTTAGTTTTATTGCAGGAGCTTCAGCTCCACCTGGTAGAAGGATGGGCCATGCTGGAGCTATTATTGAAGGAGGAATGGGTACTGCTGATGGAAAAATAAAAGCTTTGAAAGATGCTGGGTGTGTTGTAGTAAAATCTCCCGCTAAAATCGGTATTTGCTTGAAACAAGTAATGAGAGGATGTGGTTGTTGATGTAAATTAATTTATTTATGCGATAAAAACTTTTAATAATTTATTTATTTATTATTAATGCATCTTCATTTTTTCTAATTCTCTTTTCATGGCTGCTCCAATGTGTCCTGGTGATTGCACAACGACGCAACCAGCTTTTAATAAAGCGTTAATTTTTGCTGTAGCCGTTCCTGTTCCTCTTTGTATTATGGCACCTGCGTGCCCCATTCTTTTACCGGGAGGTGCCGATAAACCTGCTATGAAACAAACTACAGGTTTTTTCTTCTCCCCTGTATTAAAGTTCGTTAAAAATTCGGCGGCTTTTTCTTCTTGACATCCTCCGATCTCCCCGATTAGAATAATCCCTTTGGTTCGCACATCGTCCAAGAAAAAATCTAAAGCGTCTACGAAATCCGTTCCATTAAAAGGGTCGCCACCAATTCCAATACAATAACTCTGACCTAATCCGATATTAGATGTTTGGTAAACCGTTTCGTACGTTAAAGTACCCGATCTTGAAACGATTCCAACGTTTCCGGCTTTGTGAATGTGTCCTGGCATGATTCCAATTTTACATCTACCAGGCGCTATTATACCGGGACAATTTGGGCCAATAAGTCTTGATTTCGACTGGGATAATAAACGTGATTTTACTTTGATCATATCGTGAATTGGAACGCCTTCCGTTACACAAACTATTAATTCAATTTCGTTATCGATGGCTTCGTTTATGGCGTCAGCGGCGTACGGAGCCGGTACGTAAATTATGGAGGCTGTTGGTTTCAAATGTTCTTTGGCTTCGGCAACTGTATTGAAAACTGGAAGTTCTAAATGACGTTGACCACCTTTTCCAGGCGTAACACCTCCAATGATTCTCGTACCGTATTTAATAGCGGCGTTTGCTTGAATTGTCGCTTGTTTTCCAGTAAATCCTTGACAAATTACTTTTGTTACTGAACTTATTTTTAAATTCTTTCTTGTAGCCGCATAACTGGCTTGTACTATAGGTTTTACCAGCGATTTTATGCTACTCATTATTACTTTTTATCGATGTCAAAAATAAAATTTTGACATAAATTAATTTTGACGTTAGAATAAATTTCAACGATTTATTTTTAACAAGCACCTAATAAATTAGTATAAATAGAAATAAATAAGAATAAATAAGAACAATAAAATAATTAACTTCTTTTCTCAAAGTTTTCTCAAAAGACAAAGAACTAAAGTTCAAAGGCAAAAGAGTTTTTACGAATTTTGCTCAAAGTAAGCTTTCATCTTTTAACAACCACGTTTGTCCTAAGCTTGTCAGAGGCAATGTTGCCATCCAGACGAACTTCCTTAGCTGAACAGACCAATCGAAGTCGAAATCAAAATGACTTACAAAAAAATAGAAAATAATTTAAAAGTGCACACTTTTTCTTTTATGTTCATAGATAATATCTCTCAATAAACCCCAAATATAGTCTCCTATCATGTTTTCATTGTATTGGCCTTGAAAACGTTCTCCTTGCTCTTCTGAATACGCTTCCATATTGTTTTTGAATTTATCTAAATGAGCATGCAACATATGTACTTTTAATGACATCCTGCAGCCCATGGCCTCAAAATTTTTTAACATATTTTCAACTAGTTTTTTGTAGTTTTTAGCTTTATTTCCTAAAAATTCAGAAACAACTGCTTTAAAACTGCTCCAACTAGCTTTTTGAGTACAATTCAATAACGTTAGAAATTTTTCATCGGCGAAAATCTGTGTGATTTGCGGACCAACAAAAACCCCAGCTTTAACCTTTGCTTCTGATAACTTTGGAAAAAATTTGCTTCTGAGGTTTGACCCAGTTTTTTAACAAATTGTTTCATCAACCCTAACTTAATGTGCAGAGGCGGCATTAACACTTTTTCTGCTTCAACAATTGGCTCAAATTTTACGTTTTCTTTTCCGACACAAAGTTCTGTTCTTACAGGCCATGACTGTTGAGTATAATGCTTAGCATCCGCTCTGCTATCCCATAAGCATAAATAATTTAACCATTATAACAAAAATAGAGAGATTCCTCTTTCACTTTCTGATGCTGATGAAATTAACAACTATTTTTGTTCAGTACAAAGTGACGGGTTGCCAGATGTAGACCTTTTAAATTTTTATAGTAACAATGTTAAAGATTCTGTGGATGTGTTTGAGTTTACTGCGGTGACGGAGGAGGAGGTAGGAGATGCCTTAAGCGCTATTTCTTCCAATGCTCAGGGAGCTGATCAGCTTTCTATATCTATGATAAACATATGTTCTCCCTTGATCATACATTTCATCAGACACATTTTTAATTTTTGTATAACTGAACATGTTTTTCCATCTTGCTGGAAAGAGTCGATCATTTTACCCATCGCTAAAGCAAGTAATCCTAATGCGGTGTCGGATTTAAGACCGATTAGTATTTTGCCGGTGCTTTCGAAGGCATTTGAAAAAATTTTAGCAAAACAACTTAGACATTATCTGAATGCGTGTAATATTTTGCCTGAATTCCAATCTGGGTTTAGACCTCATCATGGCTGCTGTGGAGCGCTTTTGAATATCACTGACGACTTGTTGTCTGCGGTTGATCAGGGGAAGATGTCGGCGCTTGTTATGTTGGACTACTCCAAGGCCTTTGATACTATTAATCATTCATTGTTGTTGAGTATTTTGCACTACATAGGCCTTGGGTGTGGTGCGATATCGTTGTTCGCTGACTATCTGGCGGGTAGGTCACAAAGTGTCATGATACATGGAAACAGATCTAGACCCACTGAAGTCGTATCCGGTGTACCTCAGGGCTCTGTGTTGGGTCCCATTTTGTATACGGTGTATACATGCCGGTTATACGACTGTCTGCGTCATTGTAAGTATCATGCTTATGCTGATGACACTCAGATTTATTCCTCTTTTAATGAAAAAGATCTTGCTGTTGCGCAAAGACATATTAACCAGGACCTGGATGCACTAGTTAGCCTTTCAGAAAGGCATAATTTAGTTATTAACCCCGATAAGAGTAAGTTATTATTGTTCGGGAGTAAAGCGTGCAGGAATAGAATAAAAAATAATATACAGATTTTTGTTAAAAATAGTCCATTGAATATTTCAAGTGAAGCAAAAAATTTGGGTGTCATACTGGATTCCGAACTTCGTTTTACGCAGCATGTTAGTTCGATGATGCGGTGGTCGTACTGTGCTCTTAAATCTCTTTATGAACACCGTTTCCTACTTAATAAACGAATAAAAATATTGCTCTGTGAAACACTTGTTTTGTCTAATCTTAATTATTGTGATGTCGTTTACGGACCTTGTCTCAAGGGTCGTGACAAATACCGTATCCAGAAGCTACAAAACTCTTGTATTAGATTCATTTCTGGTTTGAGAAATCGCGATCGAATATCTCATGTTTATGAGGATATCGGTTGGCTGCGTATGGCTGCACGTCGTAGGTTGCATGCCCTTGTTTTCTACCACCATGTGCTGAATAAGAGGGTACCACAGTACTTGTATGAAAGAATTCGTTTCCGAACTGACGTTCACAACGTTAATATACGTAAAAAAGATTACCTGGCAATACCGCGTCACAGGCTTGAGCTGTTTAAGAGGTCGTTTTCTTACACCATTGTTTCCTATTATAATTCTGTTCCTCCTGAATTCCAGCACCTTGGTGGTATCTCCTTCAAGAAGAAAATCAAAGGGCTCTTTCTGACCTGTAATAAATGACTAGGTCGCGCAGTTGTTTTTTTTTTCTCCGAGACTCCATACACACTATGTTATGATTGCTGGTTTTTCGTAATGCTTGCACTGTAATAGTTGATTCGTGGCCCTTTCGTTTCTTTTCTTTTTTTTTTTAAGTTTATTATTTTTACCATTAGTTAGTAGTTAGTTAGTTTAGTTAGTTGATAGATTTTTTTTTTTTATGGGGTGCCGGAAGAACAGATCAGTGTTCTTCACTGTTCTGAGGTATCTCCATTTGGCGCACATTTTTTTCTTTTTTCTTGTTGTTTTTGTTTTTTTTAATATGTATACAAATTTTCTTTTGTTATATTATGGATATACTTATATTATACTATGCGTCAATAAATAAATAAATAAATGAATGAATAACATGGATATTTTGTATATCCGCTTTGAAGTCCCATCAAAAAAATCCCACCATTTTAAAATCTCCAATCAGCTGCCAGTTATACTCGTATACTTTACTTGTTCAAGCAAAATTTTTACACTTTCATAATTTTCTTTAAGATGTACTGAGTGAGCGATTAGAAGAGACGGGAATTTATTTCCGTTGTGTAATAAAACAGCTTTTAAGCTTTTTGTAGAGCTGTCAATGAATAACCGCCATTCGCTAGGAACAGAAGCTATACCAATTTTATCGAACATACCTTTTATGTCATTGCAAAAACAAAGTCCATCTTCTTTTGTGAAAAATGTTGAGAATGTTTCATGCCTAGTCTGCTGATCCGTGATATTAACATCATCAAGCAAATACCACTGCTTTAAGCGAGAGCCTAAAAGCTCTGCTTTACGTTTTGGCAAATTTAAATCTCTAATCAAATCATTAAAATCGGAATTACTTCTATGAGAACTAAGAAATGAGCTACTTTTCTGCGGTAGCTCAGGTACTGGTCGTGTCAGATTGTGTGCGACTGGAGCAGATGAAGATTCAAGGTCAGGATATTCGATAGGTTTTGCATTTTTACCTCTACGTCTTTTACTCGGATTCACAATGCAAAAGTAGTAGTCGTTTACGTGGTCTTTTGGTTCTCGCCAGATTCTTGGTATTGCAAATTTCATAGACCTTTTCGCACCTCGATACCAGCCTAAAATATAGAAATAGAAATTAATATGTCTATTGTATTTAATTCACCATTTAATTAAAATTAGCTTACCTTCCAAACATCTTTTACAATAACTACAAGCAACATGTGGAGCCCATGTCTTGTCTTGATTCCGAACAGGACGGTCAAAATATGCTTCGTAGGCTTCACAGAGAACGTGAGATGTATTTAGTTCATATTTTACATCTCGAACTTTAATAAATTGCCCACATATATAACAAAATGCATCAGCATCATATTTACACTTTCGCGACGACATTTTAAGTTATTCTAGACTTGTACAAAACACCTGATCGTTGTTTATCACTCGAGCGCCACCTATCAGCACTGTATAACCCCACTCTGATTGCGCGGTATTTTATATGTATTAAAAATAATTAAAATTGAAAAAATATTCAAAAATACTCATTTTTTTATTACTATAACAATTACAAAAGCAAACTTTATACCAAAAAATGGTATTTTCTTTTCGTTTTTGTTCATAATTAACCAGAAAATCATAAAATAAACTTTAGGACAAAGAACAAAATTTTTTTTGTAGAAGCGTGTAATCTGTTATGTTTGCCGAACGAAGCTTTCTGAACGCCGTCTTTCTAATACACCAAGTCTTTTGCTTGCCAAATCTTGCCAAAGTGCGAATTTGCACAAATCTGGAAAAGGCTTTGCTTTTGGCGAAGTGAAACAGTTTGACGAGTTCGAAACAACTTGCGTCGAAGACAAAATGGGATTAATTCAAAGTAATTCTGTACACAGAGTATAGTGTTCCCAGTTTGCTTGCCGTTTTCGAACTATCTGGATCTCATCAGCACGACGAAGAAGTCGTGAAACGAAGGTTTTGCGGAGTGTTGTTGCTCAAAGCATTTCTCAAAGTTTTCTCAAAAGACAAAGTACTAAAGTTAAAAATAAGCTTTCATCTTTTAACATCCACGTTTGTCCTAAAGTTGTCAGAATCGATGTTTGCATCCTGACGAACTTCCTTAGCTGAAGAGACCAATCGAAGTCGAAACAAGCGAAACAAAAATATAATCTGTTATGTTTGTCGAACGAAGATTTCAGAACGCTGTCTTTTTAATACACCAAGTCTTTTGCTTGCCAAATTTTTCCAAAGTACGAATTTGCACAAATCTGGAAAAGGTTTTGCTTTTGACGAAGTGAAACAGTTTGACGAGTTCGAAACAGCTTGCGTCAAAGACAAAATGAGATTAATTCAAAATAGTTCTGTAAATGTGCAATTCTACACAGGTGTAGTAAAATAATTAATTTTGACGTTACAATAAATTTCAACGATTTATTTTTAACAAGCACCTAATAAATAAGTATAAATAGGAATAAATAAGAACAATAAAGTAATTTACTTCTTTCTTTAAAAACTACCCCCTTTCTTATATTGTCTGCAACTTTCTTGTGTTATTGCACCCTTCTTCGGATTGACTCCTTTTCAACAAAAAAAAAACCGTGTCTACCTACCCTTTCCCAAAACTACCCGAAAAGAACCCGTGCTTACGCGGCATGCTTTTAACATCTTTGAAAATCCCTTAAACCGGCCGCCGTCATTGCGGTGATGTTTTTATTAGTTTATAGCCTCAAAGGGTGGGATGTGATTGTCGTTTCGCAGGATACCTCTTCTTCTAGGAAGAGTTTTTTTTCTTTGTTTTTGTAACAACACGAGCGAATTTTTTGCTCAAACTTTTTTTATTACAGTTTCGAAAACCGCCCTCCTAATAATTGGAAATGAAAATATTTACACGATGGACGTCACGCGGATACACGTGACGCTCCGTTCGATTTCAGTGTTAAGTGGCCGCGTGCTACATCGCGAACGACGACGCGCTTCGGTACCTGTGATGACTTTCATTAGCATCATTTCGTGTAACGATTATTAGGTTTGCGTTAAAGTGAGAAATTTAGTTTGTTAGAACCGGAAGTTTTTGTAAATAAACTTTTAAAAAATTCCAAAGAATCATTAAAGACAATATTTGTATTTACAATAAATACTGCTTTATATAAAAGTAACATATTATGTACATTTAACCAAACACACTCCTTCGGGTTTTAAAACACACCAAGATTACAACAAAATTTTAATAAAAAACATAACCGATGTGTTTCTAACCCCCAATTAGATAACATTTTGCATGTATTTTGATTATAACAAGAAAACCTTTCAATTGATTTCGATGAACAATATCTGATTTTAAAGCTTAATCCTTGGCCAATACGAAACTCTAAATACCCGATTCGAAATTTCCATCAAATTCCACTAAGACGCCAAAATATTGCGAAGGTACACGAATAAAACACAAAAATGATCTTTTTTATTACTCAATTATTAAAATCAATATGTGCTTCTTTTATCGAAATCACAAAAATGCTTAACAATATATTTTTTACAGTTTTACTTTCAGATACATAATTATCGAGAAAAGTTCGAAATGGTAAAAATTAAATGTAATCGTGGTTTTACATCTTGTTGTTGGTAGAACACAAGATTGGAAACGTTTTAGAAAAAAAGTTTCAGTATAAAACTTTATTCTTAACAATATTGCTCTTTTAAACTTTTGCCCTCAGATGTATAATTATCGAGAAAAATTCGAATAGGTGAAAATTAGATAAAATCGAGGTGTATTAAATTAACCCCATTGGGTCTCCAGGTAGTTGACAATGTTTAAACACGTTTTAATTTTTAATACACTAATTTATTTTAATTTAATGTTACATCTCTATTGCGTTCGTTAATACTATTTGGCTTCGAATGCCTTTGCCCAGAATTATTGGCTACTTATGTACTTCATTTGCGCCAATAATTCTATTGCACAGCGTTATTGTAGCCACAGCGCAACTTAACACTTAAACTTCCGCTGGCGAGGTGCATTGGATTTTACTTAACCTCGGTGATTTAATAAAAACTGTTTAATTTGTAATTTATGTAACAATAATAATTATATCCATCACAAAGGTTTTACATTATGTTGTTGGTAGACAGGTTTCGGGACGTTTTAGAAAAATATTAAAGTTGCAGAAAACTATATTCTTAACAAAATTGCTCTTTTGCAGTTTTGCTTTCAGACGCATAATTATTGAGAAAAGATCGAAAAGGTGAAAATTTAATGAAATCGTAGTTTTACATCTTGTTGTTGATGGACCATGGGAATCAGAACGTTTTAGAAAAAAAGATTTTTGATAAAAGTTGTAATAAACTTTATTCTTAACAATATTGCTCTTTTACACTTTTGCTCTAACATAAGATGCTTAATTATCGAGAAAAATTCGAATAGGTACCAAATTAGATGAAATTGTGGTTTTAACATCTTGTTTTTGATAAAACACGGGATTCGAAACGATTTAGAAAAAAAGTTTTAATATAAAAGTTGTAGCAAACATTACTTTTAACAATATTGGTCTTTTACACTTTTGCTCTAAGATGCATAATTATCGAGAAAAAATCGAATAGGTGAATATTAAATGATATCTTGCTATTTACATCTTGTTGTTGGTAGAACACAGGATTGGGACCGTTTTAGAAAAAAACTTATGGTATAAAAGTTGTGAAAAACTTTATTTTTAACAATATTGATGTTTACACTTTTGCTCTTAGATGCATAATTATCGAGAAAAATACAAATAGGTGAAAATTAGATGAAATCGTAGTCTTACATCTTGTTGTTAGTAGAGCACGGGATTCGGAACCTTTTAGAAAAAAAAGTTTAGTATAAAAGTTGTAGAAAACATTGTTCTTTACAATATTGCTCTTTTACACTTTTGTTCTCAGATCCATAAATATTGAGAAAAATTCGAAAAAGTGAAAATTAGATGAAATCGTGGTTTTACATCTTGTTAGTAGAACATAGGATTGGGACCGTTTTAGAAAAAAAGTTATGGTATAAAAGTTGTAAAAAACTTTATTCTTAACAATATTGATGTTTGCACTTTTGCTCTTAGATGCATAATTATCGAGAAAAATGCAAATAGTTGAAAATTAGATGAAATCGTAGTTTTACATCTTGTTGTTGGTAGTGCATTGGATTCGGAACGTTGTAGAAAAAAAAGTTTAGTATAAAGGTTGTAGAAAACATTGTTCTTAACAATATTGCTCTTTTACACTTTTGTTCTCAGATCCATAAATATCGAGAAAAATTCGAAAAGGTGAAAATTAGACAACATCGTGGTTTTACATCTTATTCTTGGTGTTTTTACATCTAATTGTTGGTAAAGCACGAAATTCAAAACATTTTAGAAAAAAAGTATTAGTATAAAAGTTGTAGTAAACTTTATTCTTAACAATATTGCTCTTTAACACTTTTACACTCAGATGCTTAAATATCGAGAAAAACTTCGAAAAGGTCAAAATTAGATGAAATCGTAGTTTTACATCTTGTTGGCGGACGTACAAGGTTAACGAGAAAAAATTGAGATCGGACATTTTGTGATATCGATAGAAAAAACTATGACGAACCAAATGACATATAGATCTTGATAATCGAGTACATCATTTACGAGTTATGACCATGAAAAGAGATCATTTTTGTGCTATTTTCGTGTACTTTCGCAATATTTTGGCGTTTTGGCAGAATTCGAAAGATTTCGCATCGGACATATCACTTTCGTATTGGGCAAGGATTAAGCTTTCTAATGAGATATTGTTCATCAAAATCGGTTGAGAGGTCTTCTCATTATAATCAAAATACTACAGTACAACATAAATATAATGTTTATATTAGCATACAGCGCCAAATAATAAATTTACAAAAAAAATTTATTAAAATAAAAATTTCTAAACATAATTTTAAACAACTATTATTCGAAATTTTTTTTGATGTGGATAATAATTATTGAGATAACCTCAAAAATTTTGATTTTTATAACAGCGTACAGCGCTACCTATCAAAGATTTATAAAAACTTATTAAGACAATTATTTTTAAATGTAATTTTAAACATTTAGTATTTGAAAATGTTTTTGATAAAACCTCATTTTTGGTTAATTTTTTATATTAATGTACAGGGTGTGGCAAAAATCTTTAAACAAGATAAACTAAAATAAGAATTGGATTTGGTGTGATACTTGACCCAACAAGTTGAGGTGTGCTTTTAATCGGCAGTGCCCAGTAAGTTCTAAAATATTTCCGAATTTGACAGTGGCAATATTAATAAACACCTTAGCATGTCTCATTCCAGGAGAATTAGTCCACAGTAGGCGAAGTCTCTCTTTAGCCCACAGTCCAATCCTATATTTGGCCATCGCAAATGATACACCAACTGCTGGTTCCGGCTGCACAAACGCTTTAGCACTGCCCTGTC